TCAGTTTACTAAATCTTCGAATGTTGCCTTTCCGATTACTAAACAGGTGTACCAAAATTACTGTCGGAAAAAAGTACGAACTTGCGATTTATCAAATAATTTTGAGCTGCCCTGCAAGAACTTGGATCTGAGTGCAACAGAAGAAATGCCGAAGCCTAAAGTAACAAACATGCAAAGCAGCAATGGCCTTCAATGTAAAAAACGGGGGGGGGGCTTTAAATGAAACTTCTAATAAAAAATTATTATTCTAGGCACAGTAATTAAAATTCAAAGCTTTGTTCTGTAAGGGGTGATCAAAATAGTTCTGCTTAAAGTTAAAATGACCTGATAAGATAGCTGAATTAGGCTTAAGCCAGTTACTTTCTTGGTGAATTAAACCGAAGATATTCTTTCGATATCTGTTTCATGCAATAGTTTTGTGGGATCTCCTCTTTGCTATCATAAACCTTGCTAATTCTCACACAGGTGTAAAAGAATGCTAGCACAGAAGAAGAACAAAATAACCCTTTATTATTTGTCAACTTTTAACACAAATGCACGTACTCGTGCTCACAAATAACACCGACGACTTGCGATGAAACCTAAGAAGTATTTAACAATAAAATCAAAGATAAGTAGTAATGCTAGACTGACAATTTAATTTAAGGCTAACAAAGCCAGCTCAACAACCTATCCGGCGATGTACTTATTAAATGGCCAAAAGGGCGTACAAGTAATTCAGCGTGACAGCAAGGACAATTCCGCTGGCTAGCGAAATCACTCTCTTAATAAACTACAAGCTTCGTCTGTTTAAATACTCTTTTCACCTGACATTAAATTTGCATCCTGGCGAGGAAAAGCGAGGGGAAATGAGAGGCTTAGGAAAGGTACAAACTTAATAATTCGTTATGTAAAGTAAGGGAAACTTTACAATTTGATACAGATCTTGATCACATATTACTTGAGTATGAATTTCGTATAAGAAAATGTAATGAAATCATTATCAAGATCAAATCTTTGCATGAAAAAAAGACCTGCTTTAAATCGTTTTATGACAAAAACAAATGCACTCCATCATACTAACGGAGTGTCACTGGCTTAACTTACAGTTTGTTACTTTTAAATGGGTTTATTACTTCGAGGTGATAATGACCCTTTCTTCATTTGCGACCATAATGGGAGGGGGTAGTCGCAACAATACAGAGCGGACTAAATGATTTTAATAAATTCAAGGACTCAAGCACCTTCCGCAGCGGCCGTTATTTCGCCAGACCAGAATGGGAAGAAATGGGGCTGAATTGCCTATTCTGAAGAAACAGACTGTGATAATGAAAAAGGGCATTCGCAAATATTCAACATTATTTAGAATAAAATATTCATCTTATCAAGGGTGTACCATATTTCATAAGAGAAAATACATTTCGTAAGGGTTTCAAAGATAATCGTGTTGAAAACTCCCTCAACTACTTCAATGACAAATTCTTCTGTAGCTGTAATTTAAGTTAATTTCTCTCGTAATCTCAAATATGAAATTTTGATGGATAATTATCATCTGCGATATGTGAACATATCTATACCATCCCTTTAGCTACCCTCCACTTTTATCTTCCCCCTTTTTTTAACTGAATTTTGTTTTACTCGCGTCTTGTCTCTTTTATGTTGTTTTCATTCTGTCGCCTACCTGAATATTGTCTTTCTCATTTCTGATGCTCAGTGGAGCTTTACAGAGGCAAAGGTTTCTTCTCCTTTTCTCTTTTATTTTATTGTTGTCCGATTCTTTGCACCATACGTAACACTGAAGAGGAAATGATGCTCCTGTGCAAAATTATGTTAAGTTTTAGAATAACACATTATAATATCCTAGCTAAATTGGTTTTCTTTGACAACTAGAATACTTGAGAAGTGTGTAGCGACTAATCGCATACTTCTAAGAATGTAATAGCAAGCTCAAAGAAGGGTTAAATTAACCATTTATTTTGCTCAAGAATATCTATAGTTGGCCCCTTTCGGGCTTACAGGAAGCCTCTGCTTGGGCTTGGGATAGAAAATAAGAAACTAATCTAATGCTAACTAAAGACTAGCAGAAGATGCACAGAAATAACTAACAGAGTTGGTCCTTATTTAAAGCTCACCGGAAAACACTAGCAGGCACGTAACAATACAGCGGGAAGTAGTATGATTTGGCTTAAAGCAAGGACGTGGCCAGAAGACAGAACGCGACGTACTAAGGACTACTAAGCTCTTCTACGGAAGTGACCAAGACTTTTCCTTAAAAACTGGTTCTATCTCATTTACATAAAACGCGATCCTGAAAACTCATTATGGCAGGGAATTGTAGTTGAGAAACAAGATAATAAAAGTTGGGAATTCAAAATTAAAAATAACTATTAGGAAATTAAAATAACCCGTGCAATATACTCAGACTGTAATCATGCGTGACATGGTTGTATCCGAATGTCTTCACGTAGTGGTCGAATTGTAATCTACGCAATTCAGGAATACGAGGTCGAAAATGAAAATGCCATATAGTAAGAATAAACCTGAATTATAGAATTAAAGTAAAACCATATGGTAAAATATCTGATCTTTATGACCCAGTCAAGAATCCAATTTCCGCGTAGATTCTAGTAATATGAGAGTGCGATCTGTTCTGTAGTAGAATAAAATATTTACTGAAGTTAACAAGACATTTCGCCTTAATTCCCCGTCCCAAATAATTAATTAATTATTATATTGCTAAAAATCCAGTTATTTATTAAGGTATATTAATGGACTTCAATGGAAAAAAAAAGTGTGAAGGAGATAACTTAACATTGCTGTGCTTTAGACACATTTGATATCAAAATGCGAAGAACATACCACCCAGAAATCAGAGCGCAGCGAATGCCTTATAATTATAATAAAGTAATAATTCACTTCATATAGGCTCTCATCCGAAGGGATACCATGTATGCGATACATAGATATCATATATATCATGCATATGCTCTCAGTGTTATCAAGAAAGAACTGTTGATCACACGTTATAAATTCCTCAATTTTTTCTTTCAGAACTTGTTTTTTTTTTTTTTTTTTTTTAATTTATGCTCTTTTTTTTCTTTTTATTCTTTTTCAGTATCAGACGCAACGTATTAAGAGATTTAATTAATTGGTTTATGGCTATGAGAAAGAAGAAAATTTCATCGTAATTTTGCTTTTCTCATTATTAGAAAGTAATCATTGTAATGTTGAATTTATTCTATTGTTGTTTCTATTCTCCTGATCTGAGAGGATCTTGGTCAGGTTCGTTGATTCATTGTAGTAAGATCTAGGGAGCGCCTGTCGTCAGCAGGCCTTAAAACACCTTACAGGTAACAGTACAACGTTTTCCCATCTCCGGCCCACTCTTGAAGAAAGACCAATTTTGAACTCTCGGATCCTAAGATAAATCTCCTATCCTTCTTTCTCCACCATAAAGCTTTTAAGAGGATTTTTAACTCGATATTATTTTAAGTGCTCCAAGCATCGAAGAGACGACATTTACAAGTAGCCAAAGTCCGGGATTCAAACCCCTGCCACAAGGTTACGGACTGTTCAAACCCGGATCCAAGCCACAGCAGCCGGCTCGCTTACCACCATAACAACAGGGTGGCCGGAATTGTTCTAATAATTGCTGTTATATTAACGCAGTTAAATGGATCTATTCTAATATGGGTCACGTTATTTACTTCAATCCCATCGGGTTTATATTGAAAAATTTGTCATGTGACCAAAATTATTCTAGCCTGAAAGTCCTTATTTGATTTATTTCGTAAACTGGAAACAAATGTTTATAGTCCATCGTTTAAGGGGCGCTTAATCATGTAATCTTTTTAAAGCACCTTGCACGTGGAGAATTTCTCTCTGGAAAGCCATTTGTAGACTAATGTTCAATCTTGGCAAGTGGGAAAGCAGCCCGAGAACTAGCTACTGGTGCCATTCCGAAACAACAAACCCTTGCGCTTACCGTCTGCTAATTGGCCTTCAGTGTCAGGAATTGAGAGTGAAAGGCTAAATCAATGATACAACAGTCAGTTAATTGTACGTAGAGCATCGTGTTCGAAATCAGAGAACGAATATGCGAAAGTATGTGTAACATGCATTCAGATTCCAGGAAAGGCTCAGATTTAGTTTATTATTCATTATTTCCCAATACCGCTCCGAATTTCGATTCTCGCTTCTGCGTGCTAGAAGCGCTGAAGGGCGTCTAACGGTTCCAGGATTTAAGTTAATTACTTTCGCTTTTGATATTGATTTATATAGTTCTGAATCCTACCTTTTCCTCCTCCCTTCCATAGCTAGATGCGAGTAACAATGTTTTACGTTTGGGTTTAAGAAAAAAAAAAAAAAAAAAAAAAAAAAAAAAAAAAAAAAAAAAAACATTCAGCATTTAAGGGGTTTGGTTTTTGATTGGTGCGAAAATAGTTCTTTATCAGTAAAATTAGATAAAACACATTAGGTTTCTGATAAGATAAGCAGAAATCTCACCAAGTGCCAAAGTAATTGATAATTCCAGCTGTAAGGCTTTTATGGAAAGGCTTCAAGTATTTTTTCATATAAATTAAGGTAACAAAGTTTTATATATTTTAAGGCATTTATGGCATTAAAATGAGCAACACATGATGTACTTTTTTAAAATGTAATAAACATATGTGGTATATTTTTTTTAATCATAAATTCATTAGAAAGCTGTAGAAATATAAGCAGTTATTTTGCTATCAAGTGTTCTTCTGCTCGTGTGAATCAAAATATGTGATATGTTTGTTGCCAAGCGTTTCTGAAAAGTAAATTTATCAAATATTTCTTTCATAAATTGGTTTTCGTATTTTATGTAGTACTTTAAAAGCTCTAATTAAAATGTATATTGAAGTCTGAAATTATTTCACAAATTTAAGTTATTTAAATTATTTCATAAAAGTTTAAATATTCAAATTAAGTTTTCCTTTTGGGAGGTATATTATGTGATAAAAGTGGCATGTTTGAGAACAATTTTATTTTTATTGTTTTAAGCAATGTGTTCCTGCACCAAAGATAGATCATCAGAATTTTCTTCAACATCATCTTCCAGTCTTTTTCCGAATTTTCATCTTTGCTTCTCCTCCTATAATAAACGAAATAGTATAAATTTCTAAGAAGTATATGCATGCTAAAGATGGTATATTTTTATACCCATTCTTAAGCATTTATATGTTTAAAAATAAATAAATATATATGTTAAATAATTTATATGTTTAAAAAAAAATAAATAAGTATACATTAAAACAGTTTTATTATATGATATATGTATAAAATAAACTGTTAAAACTTAAAAATGGGTTATCAACTATCGCATAACATAGAAGAAAGGCAGTGCGTCAATATTATGAGTCAGTCACTTATAAGGCATTCAAAAATATTGATACAATATGCACTATATATTATAATGTATTGTAAATCCTCCCTAAACAGTACAAAGAAAATCACTGCGTTTTTAAAACCTAAAAATCTACAGTTCTTCAAATGAAAAAGAAAATAAATAATAGTTTTTTTTTACATATTCTTCCTTTTGTTTACATAAAATGTTTTACTTCTGGATAAACTACTGTATTTAAAATGCTCCTCAAAACATGTTACTTACAATACACAATATTGGATTAATTTATTTAACTTGATGACATTATATAGATAATGTAAGATTTTTAGCTCAAAGGGCAATTTTCCCAGAAAGGCTATTAATTTCACTTTGGCATTTTCCGTGAAGTACATATATGGTGCATTATAAAATTTTTAATTGCACATCACTATTTATAAGAGCGGATTTCAGTAAAGAGCTTAAACAATCACTGTGCGCATAATTATATAGTGAAATTCCCATTAACTGGAGGGAGGGGGCAGATTAACCGGGTCTGTTTAAAAACAATTAAGTTTGCCTGAATAACAATTAAGTTTGTTAACAGTGGAAAAATTACTATCACAAATTGTTAGTACAAAGCAAAATTTTAACGAAAAATACTAAAAGGAGTAGAAAATGCGCGGCGTAACCACAGTTTTAGTACAGAATGTTGTAATGCTTAGAAATTGTTTTTATAACTGTTTTTATCCACAGCAGCATATGATTCAATTGTTCTTAATCTGGAACTTTAAAATATTGCTAAATCATCCTTTAAAAGTAAATTGCTAAATCGTAAAAATAAATTAAGTCTGCAGCCATTAATCTTCTGTTTCCCATTGAATCTTCTCCAAATGAAGAGTAATGGAAACAAAAATATTTTACTTCTGTTTCGAAATGTGTTCTTAATTTTGAAGGCAGTTTTGATTCACATAACCTTATTCTACAATCAAACACCTTAAAAATACAGTTAGATTGTTAATAGTGTTTTTCTGTTAATTATAATGTAGGTTAACCATTCTGCCCTGAGTTTTTAATTGTGTTCCCACATCCTCCACTATCTCGAAGAAACAACTCGCTGGAGCCCCATGATGCTGCACCGGGAGTTTGCGTGGCCATACAGGGGCTAGATGTCAAGTAGATTTTATATAGGACGTTGTTTATAAAACAAAAGTACTAAAGAATATAAGAATATAAGATAGCATAAAACTCTAAAACACACTACAAGCTAGAAACACCAAAAATCACAAAATAAACAGCTAAAAAGGCACTCATAATTACATAACATAATGACATAAAAACACACACGATAATACATAACATGACACATAGAATACATACAGAAACACATAGAGCACATAAATGCAAATATTGCACACATAAGAAACATATGAGATATAGTAAGGTGTGCGTAAAGCACAAGCGCTATGAACAAATATGCTCAATACCCATAATACATAATGTACATACTTTCATTAGAGGCGTCTGTTGCATGATTTACATATGTTTCGTTGCATACACTACATTGGTGCATTGTACGGATATTATGCATTTCAATCTGGGATAATTACAATTATACAATTCTGGAAGGATTCATGGTTACATTAGAGACACACAATACATTGGATAAATACATTAGGAACATACATTACTTCATTAGAGACTTGCATTGCATTATTACATATGTTACGGGGCATACACTACATTTGGTACATTGTGCGAATTTTATGCATTTCACCAGACTAGACAAGTTAGGAAGTTATCATTACGTCTTAAAAACATGCAAATACAAGCGAAATGTTTTATATAAGCTTTTTGTTTAGTCTAAACTGAAGGCACGTCTTGTGCGACCGATGAAACCGTCACTTCTAGCTGTTTAAATTAAGCAACAACAAACTATTAAATTCAAAGGCGGGTAACGTAGTCTAAGAATGAATTCAAACAAGCTATAAACCGACTGAATTATTTTACTGGAGCGTAAGTTTAGTGTATCGTCTAGCGAAAGAAAACCAAAATTGGAATATAATTTTTAAATAGGTTAGGCTTGGTTTATGTGATTACGGCAAAGTCTCGAGGGCTATTGACTAAGGGAAGGGATGCCTTCGTGAAGGACTTTCTAAGAGAAACTGGTTTGGGGAAAACCGCGAAAACACCCTGCAGCCATTCCGTTCGCGGGATTCGAACTTCAGACCGAACTACCAATGTTCAGCGACTTTAACGCTAGGCCGCAGGTGGGCCGGTCATTTTTTAAATAGAGCTAGCGGGAAATTCTAACAGTGCTTCTTAATTGCAAGAAATATCGCTAAGATTCGAAACCCTCAGCTTAAATACTTTCCAAACTGATTTATATTTTGGTGAGGAATGTGGAAGGAATAAGTTAAAGATAAAAATAATAATAACTTATAAGGTATTTCTCCCGTCTTCTTAGCATGCCTTCGTAGTGTAGTGGTCAGCACGCTGGGCGCGTATTCCAGAGCTCCTTTGTTCGATTCCCGGCAAAGGAGTTGTTCACTTTTCCTTTCTCCTTCTTCAGAGTAACCTAATATCTCTAAAACCTTGTTAATTAATATAAAATACGTTACAATGCATTTATCAAATCAAGCTATTTTTTGTTTTCAAACGTGTGGGTTTTAATATCTATATGTTTACATGTAATTTTTGATGTAAAAAAAATTAAAAAACGAAATTTATATATATTTTTTTTTTAAGTGAAGTTAAACCAACCAGTTTTACGCACACGTTATATTAATTTAATTTTATGCAAATAAGATAAAAGACATGTTTATAATAAAATCCAAATTTTAATTTGCGATAACCCCTTAAGTTTCTTTTCTAATTTGGTTATTTCCTTAACCTATTCTAAAAATAGTAACATGCTTGCAATACATTTCATTCAGATGTAATTCGAAATGACTGGAAAAAAAATCAGAAGACGAATTTTATAAACTGAAAAGAAAGCAAAATGAGTAATAAGATATGAATTACGTAAATATTGATGCACTGTGATATGAATTAAGTAAACACACCTAAGACTTTTCTTAGACGAAATAAGAAAATAAATCTGAATAAGAGGGATAAACAATATATCGGATAATTTAAAATTAGCACCGAAGATAAAAACTCAAATATTTTGCAAATCGAAGTAGATGATTAACGATGCGAGCAGAAATGCTGAAAAACTAAGGACTGTATATATGTTTCGGAGTTTCTCTGATTACAGCGTTAGCTGCCGAAGTTGATCAAGTGCGTCCGTTTACACTCGCCATTGATCTTCTCTGCATTTTTATGTTTTAAATTATTAGTCCAAAGGGGCAATTTGCCGAGAAGGACAATTAATTTCGTTTTGCCATTTTGCATCGATTCACTATAAGCGTTGTTTCATTTTTCAAATTGTTGCCACCAAATATTATCGCCCTGTATTATATTTAAAGAGATTCAATAATGAAGAACCTGCATGAATGTATATATGTTTCTCGCATTGTGATAAAACAACGGTACCTAGAGCCATCCAATTTTGAATGACGTAATCCTTCTACAAATATGGGTATGTGGAAGCCCAAATTTGAAATTTGGAATTTGTTTCATTATCGATTTCCTATTTGTAAAACTTTAACGAATTTTTGATCAACAAACACAAGGATTTAAACCGGTAATGGCACTTTTGTACATAAAAACATTTTTTCTCCAGCGCGTGAGACTGCGTATGAGAATTCTAAAGATATGCCCCATTTAAATTATTTTGCGATATGCTCTGCACTGAGTTTATGGTTTAAGTGCAATAACATATATTTATAAATAAGGAATACGGGCAAACTGTTAGAAAACGCCCGTTTGGAGGTATTTAAATCTGAACCTGAATTTGTCTTTCTTTTTTTGTATTATATTATATCTCATTAATTACCAACCTACATTAATTTTCGTTAGTTACAATGTTAAACCTGGAAAAAGCAAAAAAGATAAAACGGCTGAAAAAAATCACTATTATAAAATAAAAGGCATTAATATTATTAATAAAAAGTAAAGCAACGAGCAATGAAACTAAAGATTTTATTGTACATTTATTTATTCATCTATTTTTTCCTTCTGTAAATAATATAAACGAAAAGCAATATCAATACATTCCTATAATTTTAATTTTAAAAGGTATTTTTAATTGTATACGAAAGTTGTTCACACATTTTTTAGACGACTTTGCTTTGCAGTAAGAAAAAGTCTCCTGCTTGACAGTTTTGTTTTCATGCAAAATGTCAGTTTTAAAGAACATGACTGAAGGCTATGTTTGTATTCTTTCCGAAGAAAATTAGTCGTACCTAGTCATTAAAAAAACTCTGCCATAGCCATGGTTTTTCGATATCTGAAGCTACGATAGGTTCCAAGACAAAAATGGATTGTTTCGAATGTTGCAATAAGACCTTTAATGTTAAAAGGAAGTCCGCCAATTCAAAGGACATGTGCATAGTCATAAAAATGCTCATTGTCAACTGTAAACACAGGGTTTAATATTGATTTGAATCTTAAAAAGGCGAAAAAAACATAATGTGCATCGTCTTTCTCCACGACATATCATCGAACGCAGAACGTGCTGCAAAATTCCTTATGAGAAACATTTATCCCAACAAAAATGATAAATGTTCACAATAGAATGGGTACTATTGGGTGGTACGGGGGGGGGGTGCAATACGTCAGTTATAAAGAGATCCGTTTATTATCATCAAGAGGAGAAAAAAATCTAA